GTGTTGGAGCTGGAAAACCTCTAAAACATGCAGGATAGCGGCCCTCGAGGACTGGAGTTTGACACCCCTGCTTTAGAGGCTGTCTTTTTAAATCCAAACAAGGTGCTTCAGGCCCCGCCCCTCTTCAACTTCCAGACCGGTCCATTCTAGTTTGATAGAGAAGTTCATGACTATATAGCTGCGCAGAACAGTTTTAATTACAAATAAATGATGCAATGATGCTCATCTGTAAATTTCGTTGTGTTACTTGTACAATGACAATAAAAAGGAATTCTAACAGAGAAGACTTGTTGCAGCCTCACATGTTGGAGGCAGAGTCTGACCCAGAACCAGAGGAGACTGAAGACCACTAAATATTAGTTGGTATGTCTGGAACTTTATTGGCAGTTTTGTTGCAAAAACTGATGTAATGGTTCAGAAAACATCATAGAGAAAACTGAACAGGTTAAAAAATCTGACCCAAACAGAATATCTATCTAAGCAGCACCTGGAGAAACTAAATTAAACTTTTCTGCCTYYTAGAGACTTCAAGTCCACAACAAAATGTTTTTAATGGCTAAAAATGTGGATTTTGCAGGATAACAAGCTTCAGTTATTAATAATCTGGATTCAAGGTAAACTCAGACYAGGCAACGACAGAACTTACATCACATAAACAATCTGTGGCCTCAGCTCCAAACGTGTCGACATTTTTACAGCGCTGGGTGTTGAGGGTTCGGCTGAACTCAGTTCACTTCAGGCTAATAAAAGATGAGAGCCAGGTGAGTCTGTCCTGTGTAATGTGAAACCTGAGCTGTTGTTTTGGGGAAGACAAAAGACACTTTCACAGCTCGCCTCGTGTGGATCCACCAGAACTGGTTCAGTTCAACAACAACAGTGGGTTTCAGGAACGATGAGGCGGCAGATAAAATAAAATAAAGCAGCTTTTCTAACCCGAGCCGACACAAAGAGCTCAGTGTTGTTCAAAACTTGTTCAAGTTAAATATTAAACTGATGGTTTGATGTTTTCAGTAACGACTCCAGGATATTTTGTGCTTCATGTGTCGGATCCTCAGATTTAAATGTTTAAAATAAATATAAAACAATCACTTGCTGAGTTTCGTCGACTCTTAAGTGTTTTTGGCGTGAGCATGTGCTCTTAAACTGAGGAAATCTTTGTTCTTAGAGGCATTGTYCTGTTTGAAAGGGGAGCAGGATGTCGTCGGAACTATTGTTGTGCTGCAGAATGAGAAGGAAACTCCAGGAAAACAATCTGAGAGYGAACAAAGCTGTCGACGAAACAAAAATAAATCACTATCCTGATTGACAATATTCACTTTTTAACCTCTGAAATCAACCATCAGCTTTTAGTTTTACTTTTTGATGTTCACTCACTGAGGCCTGTAGTGTTATTATTTATTTATTTTTTTACATTTAAAGATTACAATAGATGCCTTTGAGAAAGTGAACACCCACGCCTGGGAGATTAAAAAAAAAAAACTTACCCTTTCTTGTACTTAAGAGAAAGCGCCTTCCAGAAGTCAATTTCTTCGTCCTTCGAAGAGAATTTAGGTGTCAAATCCATTTCCATAAATAAATCTGCAGACAGGAACACAAAACAAAGGCAATTAAATGAGATAAAAGAAAGAGTCGAGTTTTAAAAAGGCAGAGAGATTAGTTATCAGTACTTTCAGAGGAAAAATAAACCTTATTTCTACTCTTCRGTCATCTCTGGCTAATATTAAGATCTTAAACTTAAATGTAAACATCAATGTTTTTCGTCYCCACAGACAAAATGAGATTTGTAGACTGACCTAAAATACATGTGTACTGATAACTCATCTCTGAACATTGACAGCGTTTATGTTCAGGTAAACTCATTTTTTTTAAAAAGAACAACATTCCAACGTCGATAAGATTTGTCACTTCCTAAAACAGGTTATTCAGACACACCTTTCCACAAATGTTCAACTTACACAAACATTTTTATCCAAGAAAACCTCAACAACAGATCTACTCTCGCATAATTCCCCTCAGAACCTGGCATTAATAAATAAACACAACATTAAGGTGATTTAAGGCTAAAACGCATGTTAAATTATTTATCTTCATTAGATGAATTATAACCTGTGAGGAGTGAGGAAGAAACAAGGCTACAGGTAATTTAAATCAGACTTATTTCTTTTATTATATTTATAAAAACACAAACTAAAAAGATATTTTGTTAAATTTTGCAAAAAATAATCTTCAGGAATGCCTTTCCTTTATTTTYCCTTTCAAATTAAAAACAAGAAGTTCATACTAAACTTATAATTAAATAAAATAACCACTGACAAAGTTACCTTTTTTTCTCTAAGGGTAATAAAAAATGTAGTTAAACAGAAATAATAACCTGGCAGCTTCACTTTGACCTTATAATGTATATTTCTTAAATGTAATTCTTACATCTGGTAAATAATGTCAGAATTAATCCAACCAACCCCAAAATATCTTGTATGTTTAAATAATAGCTTCAGATTTGTGATTGTATTTTGTTGTGTATAGAATTTGTTGTTGTTGTTGTTGTTGTTGTTGTTGTTGTTGTTAGATAAATGAATAAATGAGTAAAAAAAAGAGATTTATGTTGTGTAAATTAAGGCCTGGACTGAAGAGGAAACAACTCTACAGTCTGTACGGTTTCTATTAAAATAATCTGCTGAGATAAGATCATCTACTGTTTAAAATACTAATTATATGTTAAATAATGGCTGTCCAATTAAAACTTTGACAAAGTGTCATTAAGATAAAGCCATTTGAAGTTTAAAATTAGGTTCTGACAGCCAACGTCAAGCAGGATTTGCAGCAACACCTAATAAATAAATAAATAAATAAATAATAAAGGATGAAGCTGTGGAGCTCAGCTGTCAAATGGGCGTTTAAACAACAACCCAAACGGTTCCGATGATTTCAGCGTTTTACTGCGGGTTTTTATCTGAAAAGAAGCGGCAGTAAATGCAGATTTTTACCTGATCATCGCTTCCCACGGTGAGSTTTCTCAGTCCATGGTGTTCAGAGCTGCTGAGGCTGCCTGAGCTCAGATTTAAAGGAGAATACACCCCGGGTGTGTGAATCTATAATCGGACAGCTCTGTTTTAATTTGACCTCATTATTATTATTGTTGTTGTTGTTTTTAATATCACCGGAACAGCCAAAAACTGAACAATTTCTACTCTACACAAAAWGTTAATATGAACATTTAATTAAAAGAATAAACTGCAAAGAAAAAATGTTTAGAGATGGATTTTTTTTCTCGTTTCTTTACCTCACAGGTGTCACTGCTGCGCACGGATTGCGCATAACAGTTTATTACGGTAGTTTTTTTTTCTCAGCTACACATAAAATCTAATATAATCTGTGGTTTAGAAAATCAAGATGTAAGTAAAAACCTTGGCATCAGTTAAAAATGAAGCTACAGTTAGTTAGCGAGTTAGTAATATATTTCCATTTTGAAAAAAAAAACAAATTTACGTACCTTTTTGCAGGAATATGAATTTTAGTTTATTTGTTAGCGAAATATTTAAAAATTTGGTTTAACTTGGTTTAACTGTACCGCCTAGCTGCTTAAAAAATAGCAGAAAGTGTAACTTAGCTCAGCTGTGACTAATGACGCAGTACGCGGTGACGTCAGACGCAAAGCGAACTAGCGTGTTGCTATGGTAACAGATATCTGGAGAAGAAAACTGTCCAAACGCCCCGGCTGAGCCATTTGAGTGCTTCTTGTGGGTGAAAAACATGGAGGAAGGAGTGGAGAGTATGTTTGACGTGGTTTACGACAAAATGAAAGAGGTTTGAATTAAAAAGTAACTAAACTAACTGTACAAGATGGCGATAAGAAATAAAGATGTTAGCTTTTCCGAGAACTGTGTCGCTCACCTGTTGTTGTATCTCGCTGTAAATTTATATTCGCAGAAAAATTATTTTTAAAAATGACAATGTTAATTTCAACTATAATMAGCCTATGCTCAGAGTTGTAAAGTAATTAAGTACTTATTTACTGTACTTAAGTACAATTTTTGGGCATCTGTACTTTACTTGAGTAGGCTAATTATTTTTCAGCTACTTTTTACTTCTACTTCTTACATTTTCACACAGTTATCTGTACTTTCTACTCCTTACATTTAAAAAACAAGAAGTAGAAAGTCGTTACTTTTATTTAATTTTTCTTGTTTTCATTCCAGCTTGTTATTGTAAAAAATAAATACTATCCATATAAATTGTGCCTCCTAGATAGAGTGAATTTAACTGTGGTTGAATGAGAAGTATAAATATATAAAACTCTGATACCGTATAAGTTTGTACACAAACAAATCATGTCACACTCCAGCAGGACATAATCATTAAAATAAAAGGACTGTACTTAAGAAGTATTTGTATTTCATGAATTATATTATTGCATTTGGCCGCAGCCCTCAGAGAGATTTTCATATTGAGGAAAAGATTTGGTCAGCCTTGATATATGTATATAAACTGAAACAGCTGGACTAGTGCATCCTAAATTTAACATCAATTATTTTAATACAACAGTCTTTTCTGCAGTTTTTTCCTAATAAATGTCCTTACAGAAAATCTAACTGCTCATTTTAAATCTATACTTTTACTTTTAATACTTAAGTACAAAAAATTATCAGATACTTTAAGACTTTTACTCAAGTAATATTCCTAAAGGAGATTTTAACTTCTACCAAAGTAATTTTTTGGTAAGATACTTGTACTTTTAATCAAGTATCACTTTGTGKTACTTTATACAACACTGCCTCTGCTCTTTCCAGTGGCAGTTCTCACATTATAACTCAGTATATGGGCAACATGTGGCCTGAGGGCCAGAAATGGTCCTTAGATGATTTCAGTTGGGCCCTGAAGTTCCCAGACAACTTTAAAATAGTTACCGGTTTAAAATATGAATATCAGTTTCTGATAAGAGAAAATGGTGTTGTTTCTTATCTGAATGYAGGGTCTTCTTACACAAACAGCTCCTCCTCTTCAACTTGGACTCCTGAAAACAAGGCTATCCTTCAGAGGAGCAGGCTTTGTCTTTTTAGGACCTGAAGAACAATCGGTCTCTAGGCTGTGACACAGTTAACAAGCAGCTTGCTTAGACCCTTACTTGAAAGCAACTCAGACGAAGAGACGTTTAGAATCAAGTAGAAAGATTAAACTTTWTTTCACCAGTTGATGGTACGGAGCCAGAAAAAGATGGGAGAAGATGTGGTCTGTAGTTAAAGTTTTATTTATTTTTAAACAAATGCACAATTTCTGCTTTCTTTCAGGCAATGATACTAAACAGTAAACTATAAATTATGTGATATATATTTTTATGAGCTTCAGAGCTAACCACCAAGTCGTCCTGCTGTTTGTCTCATAATTATAATACTGAAATCTAGCCTTAAAATGTGCTTTCTGATTTTCCTCTCATGCATGGAAAAGCTTATTCTGAGGTTTTTATTGTTACTTTTTTCTGCACAGAAAATCGTGCTGCAGCAGCTGATAGTCGTTGCTCGACTCCGTCCAGATCTTGACAGGAAAGTTCTGAAAGGTCAGTTTTATCTCACAGCTAGGAGGACAGACAATTTTATCATCTGATACATCAGCTTTTCTTTTATGTGGAAAGTCATAATGTTTTCATTGATATACCAAAAAACACAATTGTCTGTTGTGAAAAACACAGAAAAACAGTATTTTTCCTAAAATAAATCTGAACCAAATTGTTTTAGTGMTTTTACAGCTTTCGCTCCTCGTCTGAATGAGCCTGTGAAGCTTTTTTCTCCGAGCTGTTTGTGGTCGAATTTCTGCACAAATAATGGAATATAAACTCATGCAATAAACGCCACATGAATGACTGTCGCCTGAGTTGTAAAGTAACTAAGTACAAATACTTTGCTACTGTACTTAAGTAGGATTTTGGGTATCTGTACTTTACTTGAGCAATTATTTTTCAGCCTACTTTTTACTTCTACTTCTTATATTTTTTCAAAAAGCAAGAAGTAGAAAGTCGTTACTTTTATTTAATTTTTTCTTGTTTTCATTCCAGCTTGTTATTGTAAAAAATAAATACTATACATATAAATTGTGCCTCCTAGATAGAGTGAATTTAACTGTGGTTGAATGAGAAGTATAAATATATAAAACTCTGATACTGTGTCAGTTTGTACACAAACAAATCATGTCACACTCCAGCAGAACATAATCATTAAAATAAAAGGACTGTACTTAAGAAGTATTTGTATTTCATGAATTATATTATTGCATTTGGCCGCAGCCCTCAGATAGATTTTCATTTTGGGGAAAAGTTTTGTGCAGCCTTGATATATGTATATAAACTGAAACAGCTGGACTAGTGCATCCTAAATTTAACATCAATTATTTTAATACAACAGTCTTTTCTGCAGTTTTTTCCTAATAAATGTCCTTACAGACAATCTAACTGCTCAWTTTAAATCAATAGTTTTACTTTTAATACTTAAGTACAAAAAAAATAACAGATACTTTTAAGATTTTTACTCAAGTAATATTCCTAAAGGAGACTATAACTTTTACCAAATAAATTTTTTTGGTAAGATACTTGCACTTTTACTCAAGTATCCCTTTGTGGTAATTTATACAACACTGACTGTAGTTTACAAAAGAAGCTGCTTTCATGATGAACATGAGAAATAACCTAATAACTCGTGTTTGTTTCCCTACAGCTCATTATGAAAAACTCCACATCCAGCTGAACAAGCAGCACGTTTGGGATCCTATAACAGGCCTGCTGTTGATGTATTCATCCTGTCTGCTGCATGTCATCGAAGTAAGTTCTCCCCCAGATAAACAATCACAAAAAGATGTATTTAAAGTCTTTGGCGTGCCTAAAGTTTGCCGTCTGTTTTCCTGCAGTCATCTGGAGATGTTCTGGGTTTGGTTTTAAAAGACCTTGAAGCTTTGCAGCAACAGCCAGACAGGTAATCATCTCTTTTATTACAGATAAATTCCATTTTTATCAAGTTTTTACCAGCTAAAAGGCCAAGTGTTCCTTGAAGGGATGCATATTGTGAACGCTTCTCTGCTAACACTGCCTAAACATACATGAATGAATMTTTAAAAGCTTTCCAGCTTCTGCTGAAGTAGCTTTAAATGTTTTATAACAGCTGCTAAAAGGTGGTGGGGTATCCTCACAGAATAAAATCTGTTTGCTTCTACGTGTGAGTTGTAATAAATGTTGTTCCCCTTCAGCACCGTGCTGGAAGCTAAAGTTGTCTTCATGACTCATAGTCTCCAAAGACGGCTGTTCCAGCAGTGGAGCTCCAAGGTCAGCTGTTGAACTAATCCTAATGTTCACATTCAGCTGAGTTTCTTCACTCGTGCATTCAGGGTTTTGGTCTCTCTGCAGTTGCTGGATGAAAATCAGGTTTCAGGTGACGCCGTGGTCAAGAGGCTTGAAGAGGACGAAGAGGAGAGCACACAGGTTCTGGTTTGCAGTGTCCTGTCAGCTCTGAAGCGGCTGGGTCAACATCTGGACACACCTCAGATGGTTAGTTCCTGATATCCGTCTGTCCGGTTATTTTCTTCCACCTGTCTGAGGTCGGGTCACTGAGGTCCAGGAGGGAAACCCAGACATCCTTAGATTGAGCCACAGTCTCAGGTTCACCATAATTCCAATTAAATTCTTCCAATTCAGAGAAGCAGCAGCTCTACTCTGAGCTTCCCCTGGTGACAGATCTTCCCCTATCCATAAAGAAGCTCATCTCCGCAGCTTGTATCTGGTTCTCATGATGCATAAAGTTTGGAACATAAATTAAGAGCTTTATTTTTTAGATTTGGCTTGGCCTTTTCCTCACCACAACAGTCCATCACTTATAAGAAACACAAAAACTCCAGTTTATGTAAGAGGAAAGGTGTTTATAAGATTTTACTATGATTGTGTTCCAAGCTTCTTCCTGGATCAGTGCTGGATAAGAACCCGGAGCTCATCGTCCCTGAAGACACGTTGGAGAAGCTTTTGGGTCGAGATGAACTCATTAGTCCACAACAGTACATAAAGATGTACCATTCTCCCTTAAATATCAGCATGGAGTTTGGTAAGAAAAATCAAATTTTACAGTTAACAATATAATTATTTACTTAATAAATCAAGTTTTTTTTTAACAGGACAAGAAAATCTGGGGTCCCTCCTTTCCTTCAGTTAACTTTCTGAATAAAACGTCAACAGTAAGAGCTCCTCGGGTTGTTTTTACCTTCAGGACAAGTTTGAGTTCAGCATAAAGCAAAACGTTGTGATTCAGGTTAATATTGGGAGTAAATAAGATTGGGCCAAGAACGAGACCCTGAGGAACCCCTGATGCAACATAAAGCTTATATTCAGCCTAAATGTTTTATTTTTCTGAAGAATGAGATTTTCATTAAAGCTTTGGTAGTTTCTGAAAAAAAGGCGTTTTGTACTCAAATATGCTGCAGCAAGATGTAACCGCCCCCCCCTCCCCGAGTTGTTCATCTTTTTCGAATGAATGATCATTTGCAACAAAAACAAAGACATACAAATAATAAAAAAAACATGTTTAATAGTTTCATCATTCGCATGAGGATTTTTTTTAACTTACATGATATTCCATTTAATGATAGTTTGTCTAAAAAAGGCATTTCCTTTTTACTCCAACAGCATCACAACAGTTTGACACAAAAATCTTTTAATTCTGAAAAGATTTATTGATCAAATGAGTTTTCCCTTTTAACTTTGGCCCCCAGATTTCTGAAACTTCTGCAAAAGGAAAGAACAGTGACAATAAAGGAAATGGCCGCAATGACAGCATGCGCCACCGTGTAAATCTACAGATTGTATGTACAGAATGTTCCAGRAGTTTATAGTCCAACATTTGGTGCAATAAGCAGTGTGGATTTTTAAGATTCTGTTGTGTTTTCAGCCTGATTTGCTCTTTTTATTTTCTAAACATAAAAAAGTTGACAAAAACAAACAAAAAATCTGTGATGAATCAAACAAACTTGGAACAGCACTGATTTTCTTTTCCTCTCATAAAAATAAGCACATTTAGTTAGGACCAGTGAGATATTTCATAGTGAAAAAGCTCAGTTTCACACAACAGATGTTAAAAAAAACTAATTCTGCACTCATCCAACCTCAGATAGACTCAACACACACCTGCCTCCGTCACAACCAATGAGGTGAACTTCGTCGTACATTCCTCCTGTTCGTGTAGAAAAAGGCTTCGGTTTTCAGAGCTCTGAAAAGCAGCGATGCTTAAAACTTTAACAGATCCAGTTTGATATCTGTAGAAAACACAGAGCGGCACGTTGTCACGCAGAACCAGACGAAGACGGGACCAGGTACTCGGAACAACCGAACTGCTAAATGAACTCAGTGAGTTTTTCTTAAATTAAGAAGATAAGTTGGATGATATTGATTTGAGTAAACATTAAAAATAAATACAAAAAACAGTAACCATTTCTTTTTTTCACCAAATATTTTCTTTTCAAATTCGATATATTGTCAATATATTGATTGGTTTGCTGTCACACAGAACAATAAAAAACATTTTTTATTTTTTAAATGATTTTGGATTAAGAAGTAGAGGTGTAATGGTACAGATTAATGAGTCATGGTTCAATAAATGCCTTGCTTTTGATTCTGGCTTCAACTTCTGGGATTCAGTCCGACATCTAAAGCCTACAGTCTACCTGACTTCCCTTACAAAAGGGATTTTAACACGTGTGAATTATGATTTTTTTTATCTCTATTTGAAACAAACAGGCAATTCGTCAAGCTTCTGTGTTTCATCCAAAGTAGCCATTCTTGCTTTGCTTTAGTTTGTTCCTCTGCTTTTTCTGTCACAGCAGTTTTTATTTAAAGATGAGTTTGTGTCTAATTTATCTGTCAGCATGCAAATATGTACCATTACACCCCTTTTAACTAAATATACAAAGAATAATACTTTCTTTTAAAATCACTATAGTTTTTYATCCTTTTGCCTTGAATCGGTTATCTGTGTGACACTCAAACATCCAGAAATTTAACTATCAGTTGATGAAAATGTGTAAAACTAAAAACTCTAACCAGAGTCTTTTCACACATTCAGACATAATAAATATGCCGGAAACTGTATAAAATAATCTTGAGTTTACAGTTAAATCTCATGAAGCTGCAGTTTGAACAAGCGTCTCAGTGGGGAAAATGCATCTTTTTTTACTCCTTAAATCTAAAAACAGGRTCAGGACTAAATCAGAGGTCAGGATGTCTGCAACACAATGTTCATAAACTATTTCATTAAAAAATAATGTAAACTACTTTAAAGTGGARCCTAAGCTGTTCTGTGTGAACGTGACATTATTGTGCTACAGCCACCAACATGTATGTACAGGATGTTTGTGATCATTTAGTTCTCATTACAGTATTTGTATATAGATTTTAAGATATATTCAAATCTTCCCGTTGTCTTTATATACAGAACAAATATGTACAGAGGCTTCAAGATTTACAAAAGTCCTGTGAGCGATATCGCACTTACAGAGAGACGAYGGCAGAGCAGCACAGTGGATCAGGACTGAAGAGAGAGAGAGGGGAAAAGAAAGGTCCTACAGGTTTGGATCGGTCCCGTCCCAACCATGCACAAGGCAAATAAACTGCTGCTGTCAGACGTAAACCTTAATATTTTCAAGTTTTCTCTGTTTTAACGTGGCATCAGAAAGACGTGGTCTCTGAATACTTTTTTTTCTTTTSTTTAAATCTTCAAGACAATATTTGTGTGGAAACAATCACGACTCTGACTACTCAGAAATATATCTATATAAATACTCTCATCAAAATAAACCAATATACACATACTGTATATTTGCACCTGCTTCTAGTACCACTGGTATAAAATCAAAAACAACAACAAAAACAAGTCAGCATCACAAAACAAAGGCCCGGATTCACTAAACATGCACAGCGCCTGGTTTTTTACYCAATTCCTTCTGCGTTATTTTACACACTGATTTGTCAGCGCTGTTTAAATTTGAATAATAAATAAGCAGGAACAAAATGGAGAAAGAGAAAAATGTTTGCTCAYGTTGAGCTCAGAGGATGGATTTCTGCATCAATATGTGACATTTTGATCATTGTTCTATTCTCTTATTTTCACTTAAATAATAAAAAAACATCTATCTGGACTTGCTCCTCCCTCTTTTTCCAACAGGAGAGATATCTGAAATGTCCAGCTGTGATGGTTTTTTTGATCTTTTTAGCAACCCTGACACGCCTTCTTTTCAACGCGCTAACTGTGCGTCGCAACCTAGAATGGCAGGGTTTTAGTCCTGGTTATTTCCTAATGAATGCATAATATCTCATTAACGTGGAAAAACTTCGATGGTGAGGAGAGATGGTGGTAGCACAGTTTGAGGCACACGTCTTAAAATCCTCGCAGTCTTTTGGTGAATCCGGGCCAGAGTTGGCTGGAAACTAAAAATGGCACTGTCATCAACAACGTGCTTATTTATTCAAACGCAGCACTTTTTTGTTTTTTATTTATTTTTTTGTCAGCTGCCCAAAAAAAGGAAAGTTTTACCTACGATGATTCTTAATATGTTTGTACAAGTTTGCCTCATTTGGGCCAGGAGTGTCAACATTTTAGTATTTAAGTTGTTGCAGTTTTGTTTTCCAGGCTTCACATCACCAAACCTGTACATTCGTATTCTCTCAGCAGTTTCGAAACAGAAAAATCCCTCTTTGCTGTCAAAAATAATGATTAACTGCACGGATCTTTCATAAACTACAGCGTGCATCTCGTTTATTTATATCTCCCTGACAGCATCAACAAGAAAATCTCCTCCTCTGTGTACAAAATATGATTTGATTTATATCATTAATCTGAAAATGTACAGTATAAAACAATAAATATCCAGTGGCTGATATCCTGACTGAATGTAGTTTTAGAGAAAGGTGTGTTTAAATTTTTAACCTCTTTATAACCTTAAAAGTTAATCTCCTCCACGTCTAAAACAATGCATTCCTGCTCTTTTTTTGCTCCACGACACCGACAGTGCAACATCATTTAGTACAATTATCACATAAATCGAGACACCGCACGGTTTTAAAAATGCACGCTTTCCAAAAAATACTGGCACACTCACAGTGAACGCTCAGGCTGGACAGAAACTCGGGGCCGCCGTGAACCGGAGCGAGGTGTTTCGAAAACTGACACCCCTGAGGARTGAAGGAGGAACTCCTGATGGGAGGAAAGCAGTGAGAAAATTAGACTTGACAGGACAGATGGGTCATTCTGTTGGTTCTTCTTCAGTTCAGAACTCTTATTCCTCCGGGCCGGTCCAGTCCCACGTCTGACATTAAAGGCTATATTGCATGTGAATCAAATAAGGCAAAAATAATAATAATAAAGAATTAAACGTTCCAGCTAATGCAGAAATAAAAGTTGCACATATAATGATAACTCTCCCCTCGTTTGTTCATTCGTTTTATATATATATATATATTATTTTTTTTTATTAGAGGTGCTTGTTTGCGCATGTCGGCCCGTCTGGATCGGGTGGAGTTTATTGAGGTGATCCAGAGCGGGGCGTTGAGGCTGAAGGATGAGCGTTGGATGTTCAAACGGCAGGAACTTAGAGGCGTCACAACACCGTGCTCTCAGAATCCTCCTCCGAGTCCGCCCCGCCGTTGTTCCACTTCAGCTGCGCCTCTGAGTTCCTGAAGGCGGAGATGTGCGTAAAGTCCAGGATGCCGTCCAGGTCCACGTTGATGATGGGGATGTCCAAGTTACAGAGGGAACCTGGCAGAGCGGAAAGGAAAGGTGAGATTTAAAAATCAAACTGATCATCCCGGCTGATGTCACACAAAACAAGTCCAAACAGTGGTTGAGTTGTGAACAACAACAAAAAACAATGGATAAACTTCTAAAACAGACATTTTTCTGCCAAATGTTCAACATTTGCTCCTCAGCAGCACTGATCAGGCGGTGCTGGTTTCTGGTGTCGCTACAAAACCCCTCAAATAAATAATTAACCCAAAGATCAGCTGAAATGTGCCTCAATTAAAGTTTTTGAGGAATGACGTCCACAGATGATGGGTCACACAGGAAGTGTTGAGGTGTAGTGATGTCTTTAGGGAGTAGGAGGGGTTGGTGGGGGGGGGGTCTGTGAAAACCAGGAGAGAAGCCCCGGTGAATGAACGCCATGCATCAGTCTCAGCCTCCATGCAAACTCCAACAAACTAAAGGTGGGCTCTTGATTAAAAACAGGAAGTGAGCGTGACGGCAGGCGGCTTTATGTTTCAAGACGGTGGAGGGGGTGCAGGGATGCGGGGAGGAGGGGCGCTCCTGCTTACCCTGAAAAGTCCCTCTCACACTCAGAATCACACAGAACCTCGCGCCTCATACCGCTGCAAGTAAGACAGTCAGAGCGGTTAACGGGAYGAGGAAACGAGGTTAAAACAGAGAGAGGAACTTAAAGGGATGCAACAAGTAAAAATACATGAAAGGACCGTTCAGTTCGACACCATCAGCATGAGAGAAACACCCAGACAGGTTAAAATCAGGAAACAAGATTTTCTTTTTAAATAAAGACAATAAGGAGTTCTAGTTTTATATATTAACTTTGTAAATCTAACATTTTTACAACTATAAATGTTTTACCCTAGATCCAAAATGTTTAGTTTCTGATTAAAAACATGGCAAAATAAAATTAAAAAAATTTAAGCAAAAGTTACTCAAATAAATATAAAAACAATCTCATTAATAACTTTGCTATATTTAAGGTTCCTTTTTAATCAAACAAATAAATTCTATGTTTTGTAAATAACCACCAGGTGTCGCACTTGAGCCGTTACCTGTGGACATGCTTTCCCCAGGAGGCAAACCGTCCAGGAGACCCGATGAAAGGTCCAGGGGCTGAGGACTGGTACCGGGTGTGGAGGGAGGCTGCGGGGGAGGCAAGCTGGGCCTGTGCCTGGGCGGTTTGGGGGTGGGTCTGGTTTTGGTGAGCGTCCCGGCCAGCGAGGGTGGGGAGGACAGAGATGGGGTGGTTGCCATCTGGATCTGACTCGGGGAGCCGATGGTGGCGTAACCCTGCGKGTAGCTGAAGCCGTATGGGGAGGGGGTGCTGGGAGGGGTGGGCGACAGGCTGACCGGAGACGGCTGACCCGTGGACTGGTCCGACATGGCTCCGGTCTGACAGTAGGGGCCTTTAGGTGGGATCGGGGCCAGCTTCTTCGCTGAAAACAAAACCAGAAGCATCTATAAAGAGTTTATAGGGTCTGATACAGGTTTGCTCCRGATACTATGGTTTCCTTTACAATAACAAAAACATACGTTAGGTTCATGGTAACTCTAACAGGTTTCCTACAGTTTAAGGCAAGTTAAATTTAAAACTTTTTAAGACTTTTTTTATGCCAAGTGAAATCAAATTTAAGACCAATTTCACAATAAACACAAATGACAAAAAAATTCAAACTGTGGCAGAAACTCGTGAATCAAAGTATTTTTGGTTGAATTATACAAATATTGTTAAAAGACCAATTGTTTTATCCATATCTAACAGCTATTTTGTCAAATATAGCAAAAAAAAAACATTCTTAGCAGTCAGTTTTAAACTTAATTTAATTCCTGGAAATCCTCTAATGACACAAAGTTTGGAGTTTTATGACCCACAGTGGGTTCTCAAGCCCAGCTTGCTGTAGATGGAACCTTAAAGTGCCWGTGACATAAAATTTTGGTAAGAAATATGAATGTATTTTTGGAAAGACAACATTATTAATATATTAGAAAACATATTTCACATTGCTCAGATGGACAGTTGTTGAGATATACATATGCATGTGAAGTAACAGGAAGTTGTGTCAAAAGGGAACATCTGGTTGGGAATATTTCAAAATAAATAAACGTTACCAATTATTTTAATATTTGATTCGAATTACAGTCATCCTACTTACAATATGTTAACATTTTTAAGACTTCTGAAAATTGATTTAAGACATTTTAAGGCTAATTAAGGCCTTATTTTTGGATTGATAAATTTAAGGATCTGCGGGAACCCTGCTCTAAAGTGTCTCTATGTGTGGGTGAGAGTGTTTGTCTCAGTGTGTCCCTGCGATGGACTGGAGACCTGTACAACCACACGACATAGACAACACCACACACAAACATTCAGACGTCAGGYGAGAAATCTCTAAATAAACACTATTAAATGTTCTGCAGGTGTATTACCTCTCCTCAGGCTGTGTGGGCTGTGCTCAGAGTGCTGCGACTGTCCACTAGAGGTCACTGTTCCTTGCAGTCCCTTCTGTCCGATCACCGGAGACAGCTCCTTGTTCTTCAACGTGCTAAAGAACAGAAGGCACACACTCGTTACCTCCCATATAAACACATCAACCCTCTTAGTCATCTTTCTGCAGCGTAAAGAGAGCCCACGGTTCAATGTCAAATCTGAAATAAACCCCGGTGACTTCACSGGTTTGTCTTCCACCGGAGCGCAGGCAGAATGCCAATGTGGCGAGGGTCTGAAGGTCAGAACGTGAGCGGCTCACGCTCCGACCGTCAGGCCTCAAACACACATGGTGCAGCTTCAGCAGATGAAGCATGGATGACTGAAGCAGCTGGGATTAAAAGCTGAGGTGGAGCAGTGAGAATGAGCATCTGTGGGATTTTAGATTCAACTTCCCTCACGGTGCAAACACGCACTCTGAATTCTTCTTTTTTTTTTTGTTATTCTTATATAATTTCTGTTGTTGAGGTTTTACTTCATGTTGATGCTCTTTGTTCACAATAAAAGGTTTGATCTCGCAAGAATTTCTTTAGTTGCCTGGCAACCGTTTCCAGAACATCTCGGCAGTATGGACCGTTATGGAATTCCTAATYGTGGCGATTAAATTAAAGATGGGTGTGATGCTGATACCTAAAGACWGACAGGTGCAAACCCAGTGAGCTAATAAGACAGAGCTGGTTCAGTTTGGTGGGCGGAGCCTAATCACACCTTTGTTTCAGCTGCGGGGGCGTCATAATTTGGGGGCTGTGTTGGGAGCGAGGTGGTTCTGCATTTACCTCTTGGGCTTGGCTCCTCTCTCACGGTTACAGGCACAGGCTGCCCACGAAGGGAGAGCAGAGACGGGGGTGTGGGGAGGTTTGGCGGAGCCCGGGAAGAGGTCGTGGCGGGTGAGGACGAGCGGGGGTTTGATGTAGAGGGCGGAGCCGTTCGTTTCGAACTGGGCCACATGCGAAGCGTCGGGYAGGGAGGCCCGTTTGGGCAGGTGCAGGGAGCTGGGTTTGGGGTACGAGCTGGCGTCAAGCGGCTGCGGGGACGGGCAGGGGGAGTGGGGGA